AGGTATAATAAATGTCATTGTCAACGCATTTTGAGTTTGTTATCTCGAAATTTTATTTGATATTTCTCTTTACTTGTAATTGTACATAATGGTTATGTGTATAGTCTTAATTTTTTTCTTAATGTATGTTTATTTTACAACACATTTCCGTGGAAATAATAAAAACATGTCATAAATGTATACAAATTTTATAAATGAAATCAAAGGGAGTACAGATAATATATGTAGTCCTACTGTTTGAAAACTTGAGATCTGAATTTAGAACATTGCATCAGTACATGTATGTATTTCTTAATATATTAAGCTCAGATAATACAAGCAATATGTATACTTTCCAGCGCAATAAGCTAGACAAGTACTAGTAGTACAGACGGAATAAAAGCAATGTGATACACCGAATCGATTAAATTCTAAGGAATGTATAATCAATAGAAATCCATCGCAGCTCAATATAGGCGAGAATACCTATATGGAGTTACACAGAGTGAATAATTCTTATCCTCGAAGAAAGTGTGCTATACTGAGGTATAGTTCCGCTTGACTGTGTTTTAGTTACAATGGAATGTACGATTTGCTTTCTCTTTTATATCAAGAATGAACATGCATAGAAGATAGATAATTGAAGGAAAATACACAAGCCCCTATAAAAAATATAGTCTTTGCAAAGGCGAGAATTCAAAACTACAAAAGTGTGGCACCAGGTGGATTCGAACCACGACTCTAAAAAGGTACCCGCGGTGTTAATACTCAGCTGTTAAACTAATCGAGTTATTCTGGCTATGACAATAGCTGGTATAAATGTGAACCAGGTTGTCAAAAAAAGTTTCCTTATTTTTTGTAGGTTTTTTGTGAATTTCAACCCTAGGGCAAGGCAATTTTTAAATTGACTTTTTCCGGGAAATTGTTCTCTCCTACAGGGCAATTCCTTTGAAATTGTAAATACATCCTTAGAATAAGAAAAGATATTAAAACGGAAAAATGTATGCATAAATAGTAAAATCTATAATATCTTAATGTCTAGCTTTCGAAAATCAAGGCAGAAAAGGAAAAGAAGATAATAATGTCTAAACGCATGAAAAATATCAGAAATAATCATACATGATATACTTAATTTCCGAGGACAATGGAAGAAAACACAGGCAAATAAAGGAAGAGTGACGGAAGAAAGGACAATCGATTTGAAGTGAGAATGGAAGGAAGAGAAAATTTAAAAAAATCCGTTGGATTTACAAATTTTCAGGTTTTTTTTTATTATCACCAAAATTAATCAGTATTTTCATCATATCTGTGAAAAAACTTATTATGATGCAAAATACGGGTATATACATGATTAATCTGTCCAAGGTCATTATACATGTACATATAATTGTAAATCTTTTGAATGTTTATTTTGATAAACTTTTATTACATAGATAGCTCAGATGTATCTTTTATTTGGATATTAAAAATGAGATGATAAAAAATTTCCCAAGCTGAAAATCCTTAGGTATCTTTCTCTATGATACTTAGGAGGACGACTCACAACTCCATGTAGGTCGTCAGATTGCTTTAATCGTACTGACATATGACATATAATGGTGTGGTGTATAAATGAGTATATAACCCCAGTATGTGTGGTGTTAAAGCGATCTGATGACCTGAGAGACGATAAATTATATCAAATCAAATACTTTTTTTCAAATCCAAGACACTGTGAATACCCTTGCAGAATTTAAACAAATAATCATATTGTTTAAGCTCATAATGATGAATAATACAAGATGGTGACAGAGATATATTTAACTGTTAATTTAATGGTAATGAAACAAGGTGATGATATGGATATATTACTGTTATTTTAAGGTACTTCCCATTCTTTATCAGGGAAGAAGGAAGAATGAAAAGAAGGAAAATAGTATATTTTCTCTGATGTGAGAATGTATTTGATTTATACCGAGCATATACAATCACAAGAATAAAATATGATGTATGATAAAGACTCCATATTTGTTTTGAAAAACCACATATTCGGACTTTATTGGTTATTTATACTATTTCTTGTCGGTGCGAAAATTTACATTGGATTAAGAATTCTAAAAGCTACAATAATAGAATGTAAAAGTATTCAACTATATGATTTATTGATGATTAGATAAAACTTGCCATTACAAACATGCAAATTAATTGATTCTAATTTTTTGTCACAGGATATTTTAACTATTTGGAATTGTTAATGTTCTGTACAAATTGGAGAATATTAGAAGGCATAATAAACTAAGATGAATACATGACTCGGTAAATTTCAGATATAGCCTGCTTAGCCGTATACGTAATGTTAGGGCACTTTGGAACAGAACTTATGATCCTTATTGACTCCTGTTTGATCAAAATTGTAGAGTTGATCTGCTTAGCAGTGTTTACTGACTGATAAAAAATGGTTTTCTTAAGAAAGAAAGGAGATAATATTCAGTGGATGTAAATATATTCCACTTATTCCAAACTCATTTACTTTTGATCCATGCTTTAACGAATCACCAACAAATATTCAATGTTTCTCTTGTTCTCATATGTTGACAGACACACTTCTTGCCAATGATAAAGTATATATAAATGGGAAACGCCGTAATGGGGTGTCCACCCGATCGTCTGTTATACTTTGGGGTAGCCATCCCTTATCTACAACTCTTCTTACACCACTAAATGCAATTTTTGGAAACTTTTGCAATTTTTTTCTTACATAAAACCATGGTGAGGTTTACTATAGTAAAACAGGGACTCTGCCATTCTTTCCATAATCTTATTCACAGCTCCTCCAATACCATTCAATAAAATTTAATGCGACTTTCACAGAATCTTATTACATAGTGCCAGTTTGTACATTCTATTTCGCGTTCAGTGGCGTATATTCCTTTCTGTTCATGTGTAGGCTAATTGAAGTCACTTCACTAGGCGCGAAGTGTCAGATGAGAAGAGTTCAATTCATCTTGAGGGGTTGGGGGGGGGGGGTGTCACCCATTAAAAAAATCGAAAGTAATATTGCGATTTTATGTCATGAAAAAAAAGCTTATATCTGGGTTTGCTATTTATATTATTTTTTTCACACATGTATTCTGGTCTAAGTCTCAAATAAAAAGAAATGTTGTTTGCCTTTGAAATTTGCTATGAACTTGAAACATCCATGTTTGTCAATCAATCATAGAATATAATAATATAAACATATTTTGGGCAATCATGCAAATAGAATTATCATGATCACATAAGTAAATTGTATAATTTTTATCCTGTACAATTTAACCCTTTACAGTGCTTACTAATAGGTAATATCGAAACTTCCTTTTTTGAATAATCCGATTTCAAATATTACTTTGTTCTACGTTTCCCTAATAACACAAAAACATATCCCGTAAACAATTACTTAATTCATTGTTGAATAAGTAAAATGCAATTTGATAAGAACACTTTTTTCGCATTTGACGTCAAACAAAATCATGGTAAAGTTTTATGATCATCTTTTCCCCATTTTTAACCATATAGAATTTTTGCAACTTGAGAAAATGATCTGTAGGCTACGGCGTTTTTGCCTACATGGAATATACGCCAATGGCGTTTCATCGGCCAGATACTTGGTGTTTCCCGCAGCGAAACATGGACTTTGCAGTTATACTCGATAAAGGGGGTGCCCATTTTGTTAAAGTAACTCCTCCTAAACCCCTGAATAAAATTCAACGGAACTTTCACAAAATTTCAAATACATATTGCCCAAAAAGCAATTTGGACTAATCGCTGAACTCATGTAACCGATTGGGTTTTTTTTAAATTTCAGGTAAAAAATATATTATCAAAAGTTTCTTTGCAATAGTCCAATAATTTCTTGTATTCTCATCAATGTAGCAGTTTGTATGTTGTTTGAATTTTGTTTGAAAGATTGTTAGTAGGAGTAAAGGTTTCTTGACAGCTGTTGACAAATGCCCGGATTTTGAAATGATATGTCTTTGTTATGTTTTTGATGTGTCAGACTCTGTGGTAGCTTTTATTTCGAGTTCAAAGTGATTTATCAAATAAACGTGGAAATGAAAATAAATATTTTCGTTGATAAAACGTCGTCAATGTATCTAAATGTTGAATTAAAGGCCACAGCAAGAGACTTCTTCTTGACATGTAGAAGTTTTTGAATAAATTCTGTTTCATACAAAATTAGGTCTGCTAATAATGGGACACAATTAGTACCCATGGGAATTCCGAAAGATTGTTGGAATATGCTGCAATCACTCCAAAGAATTTTTGGATAAAATTGAATTGTAACCACTGGATTGAAAAGGTCTTGGTAGTCTTAAAGCAAACAATGAAATGATGTTATATATGAAACTAGGTGGATAATGACTGGGTTTCATGATTTCAGGAGAAATCTGCAATAAGAACTAAAACCAACAATTCAACCAACCTTCTAACAAAAGTATTCTGTAAATCTGATGATACCAGTTCCTTATAAAAAGCATGATGGTTACCCTTATATATTTTTATTGATATATTCTGTATCATGTGAAAAATTAAAAGGAACGAAAGTCAAATCATTACCTGATTTATTGAAATAAATCAGCATTCACAATCTTAATTAACAAACAACAAATTTAATTAACAATTAACAAACTTAATAAACAAGCAACAAATTTAATTAACAAACAACAAACTTAATAAACAAACAACAAACTTAATTAACAAAATCATGATAAGGATTTCTTTATAATTATGAACATAGTGGGTTGTCATAGGAACCAAAAAAATCTTCCCATTTCATTTCAAATGATGAACTATGAAACATTTAAACACTACACTGAAAATAAAACTTTGAAATGATTTCGGTACAATGGATAATATTCCTAAGATAAATCGCTTATCTCAATTCAATCAACTAACAATTCAAGGAGGGGGAGGGGAGGGATGGGACAGTTTCTTTCTTTCTCATTCTGGTCAAAGAAAAGTTTTTAATTACTCCAGAACACTTTAAAAATCATTCTTTAAAATTACATATTATTTCGGTAATGGTCCCTGCATATAAGTTCCATGACTTCCTGTATCCTCATGACTGTAGCGGTTCGAATATAGTGAAATATATTTTGTTTGAGAGATTGTTGGTAGGAGTATAGAGCAGCTTGATGGTTCCCTGTAACCTGTTGACAGATCCCTAGAATCTCCCAGGATATGTCTCTTTTATTTACCTCTATATACATTCCCTGATCATGTTGGACCAGGTCCTGTAGATCCTCTACAAGTGTTTGTGCTCTCAGTGGGTCTACATATCTGTAACACAAGATCTCTAACATATGTATGAAAACATAGAGTGGGATAAATAATGCAGGGAATCCACATTGTATCCCAGACTGTTGTTCTATCTTTAATTCATCAATGTAACAGATTTCATTTTCAAGAATAATATCCCATGCCACAGCATGTCTCATCTTTGTAGACCAGGACTGTCCCCATATGGACTCGCTAAAGATGTACCTCACTACATTCACTTGTAAGACAAACATTACGTATGGCTGTGCTAACTTGACCTTTGTCATTTCTATAACTGATATAGCTTCCTTGTATCTAAGTGTCTTGTAGTAAAACATTGCAATAAATAACATATCAGAAATACATCCAAACTTGGCTGCTAATTTGAGCATAAACATGGATGTTTTGTTAGCCATATACACCTTTTTGTTTACAATTGAGCTAGTTTGTATCTTGAGTGGTGCAAAAACGGTTGAAAAGTTGTATAACATAAAAGCAGTGTTCCGGAGTATAGTGGCTGTAAGCTTCTGCAACATGAGAACCTGGTACTGAGTCAGGGGTAGAATTATCAACTTTTCTACAGTACTGACGAACCTCATACATTGATGTAGATTTGGTGTTGGTAGATTATTGCTATACACTTCGAAATATAGTTCTTTTTCAAACAAAGCCTTGGGGATCAGAAAGTGTTCATCTGTACCAAAAGATTGTCTGGGATTTTGAAGGACACTTGTAATGCTAGACCTGATAGATGGACTATGAAGCAGCGATGCTATACCCCTCTCATACAATTCATGAAGCTTAATGAATAAATTCTTTTGTGCTTCACCATGGATATTACTCAGAAACATATTGTTTTCGGTAATGAAGAAGTTTGGACACACCCCCTCATACACCCATTTAAGGATAAGTTTAAAACAGACCCAGAAACCCTCCAGGAGATTTTGTGGATGCCAGTGAGGTATTGTGTTTTGTTGAATTGCCCAGAAAACTGCTGTTTTCATGTGATAGGAACACAGTAATTTATCCTCATCACTTAATCCATTATTAATAGATTCTTTCAAGAACAATTTAAGCAGCCCGTAGGTTAAGAATTGGCAATGGTTCATTGAGTAGACAAGTTTTTGTTCTGCCGAAGAGAAGGAAATTCTCCATTCCTTGTCTGCATGTTTTCCTAGTTTGTGTCCTATAGCTACAAAGTGGCATCCATTTCTGACAATGTCATCAACAATATGAGTTTGAGGCCATGATTGACATCTGTCTATCCATTTGGATGCAGTAGGGGGCCAAAAATCACAGACAAGACAGTGGGCTGTGTCATTTTCGTCTCCCCCTAAAACACTTTTACAACACGGACCATGTTCCACACAATTAGGCAAACTTTCTGAACATAAGATCTGTCTGTACTTGGAACTGGATATATAAAGTCTGCCATTTATTTTCATACATGCATTCTCTAAAAATTTCCTTTGTGTTGGTGTCAGTAATTCAAGTAAAGCAAATCCTGGTGGGCTATCAGAACAATCACAGAGAATAAGTGTTTTTCTACTTAAGTCGTAATTCTGAGCCTGATCTAAGTCCCATATTACCGTGTGGTCATTTGGCCAAAACATAAAGTCCACATCTGATCCCTTAAGCCTGAATCCTTCCCTACTACTCCCACTAGTCATTATCCTGTCTTTTCCTCTTATCGGTACCGCTTGGTTTGTCATTATTTCCCTGAAGTCCATCAGTTCTCTCCTCATGATCACCTGCTGTGAGGACCCCACTTTGCGACACAGTTTCATGAACACAGACTCTGATACATGATGTATACCCAAGTCCCTATATACAAAATATTGATGAAGATATGTAAAAATATGTTAAAAAAAAAGAATTGTGAAAGTTTCACTATTAATGAGTCCAAGTTATACTGAGTTATGTTATATATCTAGGTCAAAATCATACGATTTTATTGTACAAGACCTCACTAGTTACATAATAGTGAATTTTAGAATATTAAAAGAAACATGCAGTAATTTGTATTGATTATATATCGATACATGTATGTGCAAATTTGTTTTTTTTTTACTTACAGCCATTTGTAGGAAGTCATTTTAATATTATAGTTCCTGTCACTTTAAAGCCTATGATCAGAAATGGAAAATCCCTATTTTAGTTTCAGTTTATAAAGTAACTTGTCTGTGAAATCAACAATATCTATATTGGATATTTGTATGAAATATTAGATTCTTGCACTTGTATGTTCTTTGATTGCCCTGAACACAGTAGTTATGTGTTAAAAACACATCTAAGACATAGTTGAGATTAATTCATTGATTATTTAACCCTCCTTTTAAAGTGCTACTCAGATAACCTACTGTAAACATCACACTACTAACCACATGTATATCTCAAGGTGTTTATTGGGACAGGCAATGGCCAAAAAAGGGAAAGTATTTTTAAGGAATAGATAAACATTGAAGCTCATACGTGTACTGTAAATGATGATCAAAGTATATGATTATGAACCTTACTTAAGGTCAGTTTGAAAAAAGGTACTGTTGAATTTCAGTATCTGAAACACCGAATCTCGAATAGCATGGATATGTCAATCCAAAGTGATTTGGAAGTCCCACCAAAAGCCCAAATGAGCTTTTCTGATCGAAATTTGTCTGTTGTCTGTCGTCGTCAGCGGCGTTGTCATTGTCATTGTAAACTTTTTACAATTTCATCTTCTTCTCCAGAATCAATAGGCCAGTTTCAACCAAACTTGCCACAAAGCATCCTTGGGTAAAGGGGATTCAAATTTGTTCACAGGAAATGCCATGCCCTTTTTCAAGAGGAGATAATTACGATTTTCATTTGTGGTATCTTTTAAAAAATATTCTTCTCAAGAACCAATAGGCCAAAAGATGAAGCTTAAACGAAAGCTTCAATACAAACTATAGATTCAATTTTGTTCAAATCATGAACCCCAGGGCGGGGCTACAACATGGGATCAATTTTACATAGGAATATATATATATAAAAATCTTCAAGAATCTTTTTCTCAAGAACAGCAAAGTCATAAATAGTTCATATTAATACAGAAGCATTCTTAGGTAGTGTAAAATCAAGTTTGTTGAAATCGTGATCCCCCGGTAGTAGGGCAGGGCCAACAGGGGGTCAAAGTTATACATAGGAATACATAGTAAAAATCTTCCTCTCAAGAACAGCAAAGCCGTAATTAGTCATATTTATATGGGAGAATTCTGGAATCAAAATAAACTGCACCTGAAATTCAGTGAAGTATTTTCAGAGTGTCTTGTGCTTTTGGTATACAGTGATTATCTTGAAGAATTCTATCTGAGAGAGTTTTTGTTTACAGGGAGAAGTTACAGTTGGAGAGAAACAATGTCCAGACAGAAGCAGCAGACACTAAGATTAGTAATGGTGAGGTGGTCATTGTTACAGAAAGAACTGGATGCCATTACAGCCACATTACAACACCTACACCCCTATTAATGTTATTGTGATTTAAATTCAAGACACGTGGTGAAGGTTGACACATTCAAAGGTTATAGGGTAAAACCGGTTTTATAAATAAAATTGACAGTAAACCGGAAACTGCTATAGTCTGTTTCTTTTAAAAACATGTCCTATGAAAAATGTGTTTCCAGACCTTTCTGAGAGATTTTCATAATTTTTAACAGAAAAGGCTGGGGGGGGGGGGGGTGTTGTTAATATCACAGTCTACTAAGTCTTCGCTTTTGTGATAATTAACGGCGAAAATTGGAGCTCAGTAGTGACAATTTTTCCAAAATCGACCAATACGCTGGTAGAAAAAAAAAGTGTAATATCTTCTACAATGACAAACCTTTGTTTACCTTATATGGCTATTGTTATTAATGTGCACAGAGGATCTTACCACGAACAAATGACCAATCGTTGAATGAATAGCAACGTTTACTGGTTTACTGGACAACTACATGTTTACATTTTACTTCGAACACGTGGTTCAGGTCAATCTACGATTGATATTAAATGGACTGCAAAAACCAATTAAAAAAACTGTTTTTATGAATAAAATACAAATGTGAGAAACTGAAAGATGTCACAGGCGTTTGCAATTTGTTGTTACGTTGTTAACTAGAAAATGTATATAATAAAATGTAGTCTTTGCCACGTTCAGAACACCTGCACTTCAAGGTTAAGGAAAACTAGCAGCATCTCTTAGTCATTTAGACAGTTAAATGGACAACAAAGTTTTTTTTTTTACATTACAATACCAGCGATCACATGTGTTTTTGGTCAGGGAATCCACCTGACAATTGTTTTCACCGATAGTACAACAAAGAAATACAGACGCAATTAAATCGCTTTATATTCGGCTTTGAGAAAGGTAGAATTCCACGTTTATTTAACAAATGAATTGTTTGTAATTGTGAGCATGGGAATACTAGAATAAAAATGAACAGATTACTTTTCATCTACGAAATGCATGAAAAAAAATGTTCTTTGTGGCTTTCCGATAGCCTGTAGAACTGGATTTTTTTTCCTGAGCGTAAAATTCCTGTAGCATCCGTAGTAACCCACAATGCAATTCAACTCATTCAGCTGATTTTTTTCAGTTTAAGCCATGTTGGTACCTCATTTGCTAATCTGACGCCAAAAAATATAATCCCAGTTTCCATGCAAGTATTTTTGTCCAAAAAGAAATTTTAATACATAACTGCAGAAAATAATTTTATTAGGAATAGTTACTGAAGTTTGAATGAATTGAAGAGAGACTGATCGAAGTACATTTCTACAGATATTATACAGTGGTGAAAACTGAAACGCAATATAACTTTTATGTTTACCATGTCTCCACGTGGAAGTCACTTCCTAGCCACATTTCCGTGAATAATTTACCTTATCTCGCTGTAGTCTCGCTAAATCTCGCCAGAGCTACTCTGAACTCCTCGAGTTTTATAATTTGCAGAACACCGAAAAATAACAGGCTCCGAACACATTAGTAGGGGTGAGCTAGAGAATCAGAAAGAACAGGCTCGAGAAGGTGGTCACGTGACGGGCTACAAGATGGACGTGTCTATGTGAGCTCTGTGTTTTTGACTAAAAACCCTGTATTTAACTTGCTTTTTCAACTCACAAGTGCTTATGTATATTGTGTATATATGTGTTGGATTAACATTCTCAAGTTTTGGAGTTTCATTGGATGCTCTATTTACTTTTTCTTTGCATATATTCTGTTTACATCGCTATGGTCTACATCCTGAGTATTTACTCACTACCTGTGTTTACCTGTGTAGACCTGTATATCCGATCTCTCATAGCTGTGATCACCAGACAATGGATAACAGGACAGATAAACCGGTTTATTTCAAAAACAGTGAATTACTCGCTAATAAACAAAACGTTGTGGATTATGATTGTACTGTTTGGAAAACAGTAAGTATAACCAAGTCACACTGAGCTGTTGTTTTATTCTTTAATCGTTGCATGTGTGATGTATGTGTGGATGATAAAGAGCTGAAAAATTACATAATAAACAATATAAGTACATATGACAATCATGACAATTCAATACACAAAAACAAAATACAAAGTAATTCATGTAACAATTACCTAAATTACGTAACTTTAATACAACAATACTAAGACAAATGAAAATATGCATTATCCTTTATCAAGTCACGTGGGTATAACGTGAGATATGCAAGCATACTCCCAGATCAGTTGCGCGTTTATTTCTAGATCGAACTGAAGTGATATTTTTGGAAGCAATTATTATTTTATTTTGGATATTTGAACAATGTCAGTGTTACAAAAACTTTCTGATGAGTTTGGATTTAGTGATTTGAACACATCTGGTGACGTTTCAGTTTATGAAGGGACTGAGGTACATGTTCTTGGACCAGATAAAAACTCTGAAAATTCTCCTACTGAAAAACAGCCAAGCTGCTCAGGAGAATCTTCTAACAACCTACGAGATTCGTTCGAAGAACGCCTCGTAGAAAAATTGCTTCTAGCACAATCTAAGCAGTTTCGCGATATGAAAGAGTTTGTCATGGCTGAATTAAACTCTACTAATGAGCGTTTAGATAAACTTTTGGCTGATGAGACTGACGGAAAACCACCAGAGAAGATGAAGAAAATGTTCGGAGAATGTTCTGATTCGGCTAAGACACCGAAAACATCCGAAAATTCTAATTTGGAAAAGTTGTCCAAACAATTTGACGGTAAGGATAAGTTTGGATTACCCATAAGAGATGAACTTGCAATAATTTTAAAAACTATTATTTTCTGGAGACAAAAGTAAGGCAGATGAAGATAAGAAACGTGAAGAATTTTATGACAAATTCAAGCTTCCTCAAAATTGTGAAATATTGTTGATGCCCAAAGTCAATAAAGAAATATGGCGTTCATTACTGGCTTCTGCAAGGAACACGGATCTTGACATACAAAAGTCGCAAAACTTATGGCACATGCCATAGTCCCGATAATTCGAGTCGTCGACAATCTCATTATAACGGACCCTCAAGGAGATAAAGCTGGAACAAATGAGACCGTTAATCAGCTCATGGAGGCCATATCTATGATAGCCATGGCTAATGATGAGATAAATCACATGTGCAGAAACAGCATTAAGCCGAATGTTGAATACCGATCTTTGTGTTCATCAGAAAGTGCCGTCACCGATAGTTTATTCGGTGACAACATCACTAATCAACTTAATCAACTTAAAAGCATTCAAGAAGCAAATAAAGTGGGCAAGAAAATAAGTGATGAGCGCACAAAATCTGGCTTTTTCATGGAAATCGGAGGCCTTTTTTAGGCTCAAGGAATTCCTGGACGATTGGATCCAGGAAAAGAGGAGGGGAGAAGAATGTCCGCGGGACCTTCCGCCCCTACCGAAGGTATCTGAGCAAGGACAATCGCCGACAATAAATCAGGTTAGTGAAAATTTCACAGAAGTCACCAATGACTTACCAATTGCTGGTAGATTACAGCATTTTTTGTCAAATTGGAAACAATTAACTAATAACAAAGTTGTTTTAGATATTGTGTCTGGACACAAATTAGAATTTTCATCGGTACCTTTTCAAAACTCTGTTAGAGAAATATTTGTGAATAGTGAACAGGCA